CCAAATGTTTTCTTTTCAGGATATGGTTTGAAATGTTACAAATGTGTTAGCACCAAAAGTTGGGATGACTGTGCAGATGTGAAGGAAGAGATGACTTGCCCTACCGGTTTTGATCGCTGTCTCAAGGGCTATGCACATGTCAAAAGCGAGGGGGCATCCGTTGAAGGCTTTGAAAAGGGTTGTTTGACCGCTGAATTGTGCGAAAACACTGACAAGATCAACTTGTGTAAGGGCGAAGGCCGAGAATGTGAAATCAATTGTTGCTCTGGGGATCTGTGCAATGCTGCCGCACTGCAACTGGTCAGCACCATTGTTCTCATCGCGTGTGCGTTGGTGGCCTTGCTGCACTAAGGTGACTGATGAAACCTTGCCAGAAGAAGCAGCGAAGAAGTTTTTGTTATGTAGGACAGCTCAGTAGTATACGTTGTCGTTAGGAACTTTTCAAAAGATGGTCTTTACTTTGTTGAGATAAGCTGTTAATTGCACGTTTTTCTTTTCAGTTGTAAGTTAGTTATCGGTATTAAAAGACTTTCTTAAGATACTGTTATTGATACTTGTCATAATAGTTCTAACCTTTGTATCTCAAGGGAAACATATCGCAAGTCAGTATCCTCCTACTAAAAGCCAAAAAGACTCTGCTAACACAATACATGTACACCAACCAAGCACTCAAGCAGTTCTGCTGGGAGCTCAACAAACTCTCATTAGACTGAGGTCCTTTCGAGAAAGAGAGTGAAATGAACAGGCTTCATTAAAACCTAACTAGCTTACCATATCGAAACCTCCATTAAGCGGACCGCTGACATAGCGGACACCTTTTATCAAGCGGATACTAAGTCTGGTCCCGAAATAAACTCCTTATTTTTATCTCCATAAATTTCATGGTTCGCGCGGGCCTTGAAAAGTTCTCAGAAAATTGCCAGTTCCTTGAAGGGTCCTTGAGAATGAAAATGCGAAGACATCTCCTTGAAAAGTCCTTTAGTTTTTACTTGCAATCCTCGAATCCTGTTAACAGGTCACTGGAGTCATATAGGACTACGAGATAAAAAGACATAATATCGACGTGGATATAAAAGCTAAAAGTGCAGATAAAAATATTAAGTTTGAAAAAGTTGATGTCGATGATATAGGAGTTTGAAGCACTTAAAAGTGATTATTATATGATGTACCTATAACAACGAAAGTAACCCCTTCTTCAATGGGCCGG